ATTAGTGCTTAAGTTTCACATGTAAAAGCTCATGGTAGACTTAACTAAATATCTATCATGAACGAATGAATTAAAATATTCCCCATATAGAGGAAAGAATCCTTATCAGTCATATAATCTAATCTTCTAACTAAAGTATAATTTGGTTCTATAATATACTTGATAAGCGATCTAAGCTTACTAGATTTAGAGATAGATTCTTTTTATTCATGAAAAACTGGATCTTAGCTAAATTATAACCAATAGAAGCCAATTTGGAATCAGAGCATCACTATTCGGTAACTACACTGGTCATTTAGGTGTAATGGTGCATGGTAAAGGCAAGAGTGGGTTTTAGTGAATAGATGCTCTTTGAAAAATCATTCTTAAATTGAACAATTGCCTTTTGGCCACTGTATTTGCTCTTTACTATGTCCAGCGCCATCATTCACCAGAGGCTCTATTTTTATTTTTTTATTGTTTAATTAAGTTAATGAATTTATTTTATTTCAGACAGCATCTCCCTCTGTCACCCAGGCTGGATTATGGCGATGCAATCACAGCTCACTATGGCCTCAGACCTCCTGGGCTCAGGTGATCCTCCTGCCTTAGCCTCCTGAGTAGCAGGGACTATTGGTGCATCCCTCCACATCTGGTTAATTTTATTTGTAAAGATGGGGTCTCATTTTGTTGCCCAGGCTGTTCTCAAACTCCTGGGCTCGAGTGATCCCCCTCTCCTCAACCTCCCAAAGTGTTGGGATTACAGGCGTGAGCCACCATGCCTAGACAAGAATCTATTTTGAAATGCATGGTGACATAGTTTGGATGTGTGTCCCCTCCATATCTCATGTTGAAATGTGATCCCCTAGTGACAGATGCTTGGGTCATGGGGGCTGATTCCTCATGAATGACTTGGTGTTGTCCCCTTCGTAATGAGTGAATTCTCACTCTATTTGTTTATGTGAGATGCGGTTGTTTTAAAGAGCCTGGCATCTCTCTTGCTGCTCTCCTTCTTGCCATGTGAAACACCTGCTTCTCCCCCACTTTCCACTATAAGTCAAAGCTTCCTGAGGCCTCACCAGAAGCCAAGTGGATGCTCTTGCCATTTTTGTGCAGCCTGAAGAACTGTAAGCCAAATAAACCTCTCTTCTTTATTACCCAGTCTCAGGTGTTCCTTTACAGCAACAGAAAACGAACTAACAAACATGGATAGGAAAATTAGTAAGACTTCTTGCAGAGCACTTTTTGTAGGTTCTTATCTAACAAATCCTATCCATAAAAATACCTAGGACAATAGGTCCATTCAGAACCTCACTCAGTAACTTATCTTTACATTTGTAATTGTATAGATAAAAATTATTTTTATAATCATTACGTTTTGTGAAGTAAAAAGGTAACTTTCAAAAATTAATATGAAGTTAAAGAAACCAGATACACACACACACACACACACACACACGGGTAGTCTGGTGCTATTTTAATCTCAATTTTATTAGCAAAATAATATGCAGAGAAAAATTTCTAGAAGGATTATAAGAAAATGTTAATATTAATTATCTTTAGGGGGAAACATGATGAAATTTCAGAATAATAATAAAAGATTTCTGAGATCTACAGATGACAATTCCTTTTGAGCAATATTGAATACAACACACTACCAGAAAGAAATTGGACAAACCACAGGAGTGTGCTGCCTAAAAGAGGACTTTTTTCATTAAACATGGTCATTCCCTTATTCTAAAATCCCATATTCTTTTCTTTCTTTCCTTCTTTCTTTCTTTTTTTTTTTTTGAGACAGAGTCTCACTCTGTTGCCCAGGCTGGAGTACAGTAGCAAGATCTTGGCTCACTGCAAGCTATGCCTCCCTGGTTCACTCTATTTTCCTGCCTCAGCCTCCTGAGTAGCTGGGACTACAGGTGTCCATCACCATGCCCTGCTAATTTTTTTGTATTTTTAGTAGAGACGGGGTTTCACTGTGTTAGTCAGGATGGTCTCAATCTCCTGACCTTGTGATCAGCCCGCCTCGGCCTCCCAAAGTGCTGGGATTACAGGCGTGAGCCACCTCGCCGGGCCGCCTGGCTTATTTTTGTACTTTTTGTAGAGACAGGGTTTCACCATGTTGCCCAGACTGATCTTGAACTCCTGGGCTCAACTCGCCTGTTACCCAGGCTGGTCTCAAACTCACCTCAGCCTCCCAAAGTGCTGAGGTTACAGGCGTGAGCCACCATGCCTGGTCCCATACTGTCAAATTCTAGAAAATATTCTGAAAATTTTTGTTCACTACTGGTCTCCTGGGAATTCTTTGAAACCCACACCATTCCTGTAGTATTTGTTTTAACAAGCTACTTGACTAACTTTGTTACAATACAGTTAGCATGAGCTTATGCCTTAGGAATTGTATCTGTGTTAGATTACTCTCCCTGTTTTCCCTGCCTGTCTGTCAAAAAGCAAAAACAAAACAAACAACAACAACAAGTCCCTTTTTAGCATCAGTGTATCTTTCTTCTTCTCTCTCCCTAGCCATCAGAGCTCATGATCCTTTTGGACTTAGTATAGTTTTATCTCATCTCCAATTTTACTTTTTTTTTCCCCTCGCTTTACTTCAGTACCAATGTAATCCTAAGGACTGCTGGTGAACTTTGCCAAATCCCCGTTTTAAACCACGCATCTAGAGAATATAGAAGAAAAGAAATTTGCTTTGAAACTTGTTGCTGTTTTGTTTTGGAAGTGGCAGCTCAAAGTAGTAGACTCAATAACTTAATGTTATTTTTCTACTTAAAACTAACTCAAGGAGAACTTTTTCAGGGATAAGTGATGCTCACTAAGTAGAAGATGATAAACAGAAAAGGGGCCTATAGAACAATGATCTATCCAATCATACAAAAACTTCAGAACCTTGTGTTTATTTCAAATCTCTCTCTTTTTTTTTCTTTTCTTTTTTTTTTTATTTGGAGACAGGGTCTCACTTTGTCACCCAGACTGGAGTACAGTGGTGCAATCTCAGCTTACTGCAGCCTCGACCTCTCCGGCTCAAGCAATCCTTCTGCCTCAGTCCCTCAAGTAGCTGCAACTACAGGCATGCACCACCACGCCTTGCTAATTTTGTATTTTTTGCAGAGATAGGGTTTCATCATGTTGCCCAGGCTGGTCTCCAACTCCTGAGCTCAAGCCATCCACCCACCTTGGCCTCCCAAAGAGCTAGGATTACAGGCATGAGCCACCGCACCTGGCCCGGATCTCATTATTACTAGAACAGATTGAAAAAATTGAGAGGTATTGGTAAGATTCTTAACAAATAGACCTATGCAGCAATGGTAGCTAATTATATAAATAAAGACTATAATAAAATTGTGAGAAAATGAAACACTGAAGATATAAACACTCAAAGAAATAATTTATTTAGCCTTATTCTTTGATAGGTAAGAATAAAGGAATAGTCATCAAAAGAGAAAATGGAAGAGACATCAGGACCGTGGATTCTATGCCAGCATACCAACTTCAGAAAGTGACATCAGGGAAAGATTTTACATTGATGCATGTTTGAAGTTGGGAGGAAGGAGAGCATGAGGAACAGATATATTCTTACTATCTTTGTTATCTTCTGGATGGAATGTTATTTGATTATAGCAATCTCATCTTACCACATCCCAATCTTTAGCCCGAAATATTATGAAGAACCTGCTTTTTCCTGTAAAATGATTATGATTAACTAAAACTTATGCTACATTTTACCTATTGATAGTATACATTCCTGCATAGCATAGCATAGCATAGCATAGCATAGCATAGCATAGCATAGCATAGCATAGCATAACATAGCATAGCATAGCATAGCATAGCAGAATTCAGACTCTCTTAACTTAGCAATCAAGAAAAAGATTCTGTCACATAAAAAATAGGAACACATGCCAGGCATGATGGCACAAGCGTGTAGTCCCAGTTTCTTAGGAAGTTGAGGCGGGAGGATCACTCGAGCCCAGGAATTTGAGGCTGTAGTGAGCTATCATGGTGCTACTACGCTTCAGCCTAGGTGACAGAGTGACTCTGTCTCTAAAAATAAAATACATAATAAAAACACGGGTTCTTCAAAAAGTTAAATATAGAATTACCACATGATCCAGCAATTTTGCTTTACTTCTAGGTATATACCCAGAAGTACTGAAAACAGGGACGCAAACATACCTGTACATCAGTGTTCAGAGCAGCATTATTCACAGCAGCCAAAAGGAAAACAACCCAAATGTCCACTGATAGACGAATGGATAGACAAAATGTGATCTATACATAGAATAAAATTATATTCCATAGAACGGAATAGAATTCAGCCTTAAAAAGGAGTGAAATTCTGATACATGCTACCACACGGGTGAACCTTAAAAACATGATGCTGGCCTGGCGCAGTGGCTCACGCTTGTCACCCCAGCACTTTGGGAGGCGGAGGTGGGCAGATCACGAGGTCAGGAGATTGAGATCATCCTGGCTAACACGGTGAAAACCCGTCTCTACCAAAAACACAAAAAAATCAGCCGGGCGTGGTGGCGGGCACCTGTAGTCCCAGCAACTCGGGAGGCTGAGGCAGGAGAATGGCGTGAACCCCGGGGGCGGAGCTTGCAGTGAGCTGAGATCTCGCCACGGCACTCCAGCCTGGGCGACAGAGCGAGACTCCGTCTCAAAAACAAACAAACAAACACACAAAAAAATGATGCTAAGTGAAATATGCAAGATTGTATGATTCCACTTATAAGAGGTAAATGGAATAGTCAAATTCATAGAGACAGAAAATAGAGGTTACCTGGGGCTGGAGAAGAGTGGAATGTGGAGTTACTGTTTGATGGATAAAGTTTCTGTTTGGGATGATAAAAAAACTTCTGGAAACGGTTGGTGGTGATGGTTGCACAACATGGCGAAAGTACTTAATGCCGTTGAATTGAACACTTAAAAACGGTTGAAACAGAAATTTTGTGCTGTTTATTTTACCATGTTTAAAACATATATTAAAAAATAAAGAGGCTGCGGTCGCTATGGAGGAACCGGAGATGCAGCTCAAGGGGAAGAAAGTCACGGACACATTCACTGAGAGCATCTGCGTCCTGGCGAATGAGCCATCGGTGGCCCTGTACCGGCTGCAGGAGCACGTGCGCCGCTCCTTCCCGGAGCTGGCCCAGCGCCAGGTAGCCATGCAGCGTTGGGAGGTGCAGAGCCAGGGAGCCATCTACACCGCGGAGTACCCCCGCAGCGCCGGGAAGAAGTTGGTGGACAGCAGCGTCTACTTCCGCAGCGTGGAAGGTCTGCTCAAACAGGCCATCAGCATCCGAGACCATATGAATGCCAGTGCCCAGGGCCACAGGTAGCCGCTGGGACCGCCCGCCCCCGCTGCCACTCTCAGCCGCAGGGACTGTCTCTCAGCTGCGCTGGAAACCGCTGCTTCTCGAAGCTTACTCGAAAACTCTTTCCTCTTGTCAAAAAAATTAATTTAAAAAAATAATAAAGATACACCGGGCACGGTGGCTCATTCCTGTAATCCCAGCACTTTGGGAGGCCGAGGCAGGTGGATCGCTTGAGGTCAGGAGTTGGAGACCAGCCTGGCCAACATGGTGAAATCCTGTCTCTACTAAAATACAAAAATTAGCTGGGCTTGGTGGCAGGTGCCTGTAATCCCAGTTACTCGTGAGTTTGAGGCAGGAGAATCGCTTGAACCTGGGAGGCAGAGGTTGCAGTGAGCCAGGATCAGGCCGCTACACTTCAGCCTGGGCGACGGAGCAAGACTCCATCTCAAAAAAATAAATAAATAAAAAATAAAAATAAAAACACTAACAGTATTTAACCACCACAGAAATTTTTAAAAATGCCATAGCTTCATACCAGAAATTGCCCTTGTTTTCAAACGTGCATTATAGTTTATATTTCTAAGCATAAATTTAATTTTAGTTTTATGTGTTTTTTAAACTTTGAGATAGACTGTTGAACACTCTGCAAGGGGCAAATGTTTCACACTGTTAACCAAACAAAGCTAAGCAGAGTTCTTATTAAGCTAATTTTAAAAAAATCTCCACTGTATAGCATGCAGCCTTTTTCAAATGCAAATTTTTCAAATGCAAATGACTCCAGACCTTTTAGTAATTCCTTGATCCAGTGTTCCTCTGGACACTGTAGACTATTGTTAACCAGTCACCTTCACAATATAATTTGAGGATTCGCCACCATGACTGCTTGATTGATAATCTTATTCCTTGTTGTTTGTTCATCATTTTATTCTTTCTATAATTTATGGATCAATCTAACACTTATTTATTGAGTACCAACATTGTGCCAATCACTATTCTATTCTAAGCACCATTCAATGTCTTGGTGAGCTTCCTATGCCTAGACATGTGTAATCTAAAGTACCTTCCGTTTACTATTATCCCTGAGCTTGTCCAATCAAAGGCTTGCCCCATTTCACATGGATCCATCTCACCTTTTGTATAAAACACGTGGGAGGAGGGGCTTCTTAGTTGGGATTGGCAGGGTCTAGCGTTGGAAGGAATATCTTCTCTTCACCCACTGTTCGCAAACCTTTTCTCCTGGGCCCTCAAGCAATGGGGAGTTCGCTTTTTCAAGTAGCGCCACAGGTTCATACCACAAAACTCTCTCTACTTTCCATTTAAGTGGATCTGGGGCATCTGGGCCAGAAACGTGGAATATACTGTTCTTTGGGACTTCTCTCTCTCTGGAATCCTGTTTTCCCAAGAGAGGAATCTCCTTGGCTATTGTGACCCAGAGGCTTACTCATTTATTCACAAAAGTATACAGAGTATCTTCTAGAACCTGTACTTTTTCTTTTTTCTTTCTTTCTCTTTCTTTCTTTCTCTCTTTCTCTCTCTCTTTCTCTCTTTCTTTCTTCCTTCCTTCCTCCTCCCCTTCCTTCCTCTCTCTCTCTTTCTTTCTCCCTTCCTTCCTTCCTTCCTTCCTTCCTTCCTTCCTTCCTTCCTTCCTTCCTTCCTTCCTTCCTTCCTTCCTTCCTTCCTTCCTTCCTTCTTTTCTCTTTCTTTCTTTTTAGATGAGTCTTGGTCTGTCACCCAGGCTTGAGTGCAGGGGCATGATCTCGGCTCACAGCAACCTTCACCTCCTGGGTTCAAGCGATTCTCCTGCCTCAGCTATCCCAGTAGCTGAGATAACAGGTGCGGGCCACCACACCCAGCTAATTTTTGTATTTTTAGTAGAGACGAGGTTTCACCATCTTGGCCAGGCTGGTCTTGAACTCCTGACCTCGTGATCCACCTCCCGTGGCCTCCCAAAGTGCTGGGATTACAGGCGTGAGCCACCTTGCTCAGCCTAGAACCTGTAATTTTTTTTTTTTTTTAACCAGGTCCTAGGAATATAAAAATGAATAAAATTTTTTCCTTGACCGGAAAAACTAGGCACATATCAGCCTCACAAAAATTCACTGTGATAATAATATGCTATTAGCAACAGCTGAGTTACAGCAATTCCAAATACCTACTGAATGCTCATTATTTGCCAAAAATTGTTCTCAGTACATTACACGTGTTATCTTGTTATATATCCATAACACACTTATGAGATTGTTACTTACATTCTTCCATTTTATAGATAAAGGAACAGGGCACAGGTCCACAGTTACACCACTAAGAAATGGCATAGCTGGGATTTGCACCCAAGCAGTTTGGCTCCAGAGTTGGCACTGTTAGTCACTATCCTATGATGCGTCTCTAGTGTTAGCATAAGGCAGTAGAGGAGAGGCCTCTCCTGTGAAAATCACAACATAAGTGCTACTTGAGCTGGGTCTTGATGGTTGAGTCATATTTCATTAAGTAGCAGGTAGACGTATGTATGAGGAGGGTGGAGGAGGAATGGAGGTAGGGATTGCTGCACATATGGTTGTATAAGTTGTGCACAATGATGCCCAGCTAAGAAAATGCAGACAGGGGGCTGGAATCTACAGCCCCTCTGCTCACTGGGCTGTGGATCCTGGGATGGCACTTCACCACCTGGGGGAAAGGATGCAATTTGCATAAAGGTACTATATATTGCTCTTTCCATCTGGGTGCTGGAGTCATCTTGTGGGATGGATAAACTATAGAAAATGTAAACTAGAAAAATTAAATTTAAAGGCTTTTTTGTGTTTGTCTTCCAATTCTTGTCTCATAATTCTAGCACTTCAGTACTAAGTGTCATCAATACTGCCTGCCTGTCATAACCGGGCCTGCCTGCCCCTCAAAATACCCCCCGTTTCAAAATTAACTCTTCCTTCTCCCTAACCATGAGAACATTTCCACGTTTTATTTATTTATTTTTATTAATTTTTTTTTTTCAGGGACAGGATCTCATTTGTGGCTCAGGCTGGAGTACTGTGACACAATCATAGCTCACTGCAGTCTCAAAGTCCTGGGCTCAAGTGATCCTCCCACCTCAGCTTCCTGAGTATCTGGGACTATAGGCACACACACCTGGCTAACTTTTTTTTTTTTTTTTCCCGTAGATACAGGGCTCCTTTCGTTATGTTGCCCAGGCTGGTCTTGAACTCTTGTATTCAAGCCATTCTCCCACTTCTACCTCCTAAAGTGCTGGGATTACAGGCCTGAGCCACTGCTTCCAGCCTATTTATTTATCTTTGAGAGACCAGGGTTTCTGTCACTCAGGCTTGAATGCAGTAGTGCAATCATAGCTCACTATAGCCTTGAACTCTTGGACACCTTCTGCCTCAGCCTCCCAAATAGCTATGCTACTACACAACAGTCCCATGTTTTAAAATATAGCTTGGAACTGACTGGTTTCTTCATAGTTTATGTTAAGGTATAAATGACTTATAATTTTCCCTAAAATGCCAAAAAGAGATGGTTTAATGAATAAAAAGAACATCCAGGTAGTAAAGTTTTAGGCAGGGGAAGATGTTTTTGGATAGAAGGAACAATTAGCTTGTGGGCAAAATTCAAATGCCTAGCCACCTGTGTTCTGTTTAGGTTCGAGAACCTTGCAATGTAGTTTTCTTACTTGGCCTCTCCTTACAACTAACCTTGGAAATATACTACAGAGTGTATGTTTTAGATAGTCTCTCTTGCCCCTCCTTCAGGTCCCCTGTCAGTTTTGTTTATTTGTTGTTCTGGGGGTTGAGCCATTGCTCCGTTGACAGTGACGACTGTCCCTAGCTTACATATCCATAGATCCTTTTCCTAGATCCACACCAGTAAAAGTCATCTCCAGGCCTAGCCATGTCCCAGTTTGGGTAGATGGACCCAGACCAAGATGATTTCTTATACTTTTTTTTTTTCTTTTTTTTTTTTTTTGAGACGGAGTCTCGCTCTGCCACCCAGGCTGGAGTGCAGTGGCCGGATCTCAGCTCACTGCAAGTTCCGCCTCCCGGGTCTACGCCATTCTCCTGCCTCAGCCTCCCGAGTAGCTGGGACTACAGGCGCCCGCCACCTCGCCCAGCTAGTTTTTTGTATTTTTTTAGTAGAGATGGGGTGTGTTAGCCAGGATGGTCTCCATCTCCTGACCTCGTGATCCGCCCGTCTCGGCCTCCCAAAGTGCTGGGATTACAGGCTTGAGCCACCGCGCCTGGCGATGATTTCTTGAATACTCACCATGATGACCTGTCTCACCCAATGATCTAATATTAATTTAATGTAAACACCACATTAAATAGGGTTGTGTGTAGGTTGCTGTCCATAGCAATATAGTAAGGTTGTTGTTCTGGGAAGCCCAGAAATATTCTGTTGGCTTCCTCTCTCTTAAAGGTCTTCTTTTAAAATGCAAATACTACAAGTGTGAATAGCACTTTCAAGTAGTTTACACTGAGGTGTTAGTGACTTTTTTGATGGCCTTTTTTTCCTCTGGAGGAATTTAGTCAGGGAGATTAGAGAATGGGACAAGGGAGAAAAAAGAAAAGGAGAAAGAAAGAGACAAGGAAAAGGAAGAGGAGGAATAAACATTATTGAAATTGAATTATGCCTAATGTCTAACTTTATCCTGTGGATACTTTTTACTTTGGGGACAACATTTTAGAATAACACCTAGGGAATGTACATTACTCGTTAACTATACTTCTAAGGAAACCAAGGAGACCTATGCAGGTTTCCAAATATACAATGTCAGAAGTACTGATCCAGACATCTCATTGTATTTGAGGCAAACTTTCCTACTTGGTAAATAAGAAACAAGTTTCCTATTCATCTATTTCATGGACCCTGTGAATTCTTTAAAATTTACAAAAAAATAAAAACTTTTTCTCGAAGCGTGACAACATTATATATGCCTTTGGACATGTTTGATATGAGAAATGTATTTCCGCTGAGCTATCTAAAGAAAAAAAAAAATCTCTTATAAACAGGCAAGGTATCTCACAGAACTC